AATGTAACAGCTAGGATCGCTCGTCAGTTTAACCCACCAGGCACAGACCGGTTTCGGACTTATTGGTCCTCATCAGTGTGTCATAGGTAGGACAACCGACGAACGATCCAGCTGTTATAATGTCGTAAATTCCCGACCTATACCATTGAATGGTATAGTGGAAGTCGGCACGACAAACAGATGGAGCCATCCATTGTGCTTCGCGTACTATGTACTATAGGTCGGAAATTTACGACATTATAACAGCTGGATCGTTCGTCGGTTGTCCTACCTATGACACACTGATGAGGACCAATAAGTCCGAAACCGGTCTGTGCCTGGTGGGATAAACTGACGAGCGATCCTAGCTTTTACATTCAGTGTTGTGAGTGTAATTCAATACCGGAGGGGGCGGGCATATAGCCCGCGGTGTAGTTGTTTCTTGCAACATTGGTTATAATTGGTGTCGCCCTCTAGGCGACAGTCGTGCAACGAAGTACCTGGCAAAGTTTAGCAGGTCGCTTCCACCGTAGTAGCCATTTGAATGGTATAGTGGAAGTCGGCACGACAGACAGATGGAACCATCCATTGTGCTTCGCGTACTATGTACTTCTGGTCGGGAATTTACGACATTATAACAGCTGGATCGTTCGTCGGTTGTCCTACCTATAACACACTGATGAGGACCAATAAGTCCGAAACCGGTCTGTGCGCCTGGTGGGTTAAACTGACGAGCGATCCTAGCTGTTACATTCAGTGTTTCCAATGTAATTCAATACCGGGGGGGCATATAGCCCGCGGTGTAGTTGTTTCTTGCAACATTGGTTAGAATTGGATATTTAAACTAATGGTGAAAACCTGATCTCGTTGTCATATTTAGCTTCGTAGATGATTGATTCGAACTAAATCCAATATTTGTGTGTCAAGTACATCGTTTTATCGTGAAATTAAAGTGTGTAAGATAAAAAAATAATTAATTAAAGAACACCCAAAATAAATGATTTCAATATGTGGAGAAATTGATTTGATGCAATTCTTATTTGAGGCATATTTATGTATTATTGATATTATCTTAAGTGAAACACCATGTATATTCATTAGCTATAAATAACGAGTTATGTAAAGATTTAATAAATTTAATTTAATAAGGAACATTACCGGTTATTATAGGTTTCCCATCACAAGGCGGATTGAAGCATTCTACAGTTTCTCTCACTTTCTGATTATTGCAGGGATCATCTTCGTCGAATTCATCTTCGTTTTTCTTAAAAAATGGCCAATAGATAGCCTTTTTGCCTGTAAATTCCAACGACAAACGGTACCTTTCCTTGAATCCTTTACCGCAAGTCGATGAGCAAGGCGACCATTCACTCCAAGGCTTTTGCGGGCAATTTTCGTTCAACTACAGACAAATGAAAAACTGCAATATTAACCTAATAACAATTTGGATGTGCATTTCCGTAAAAATGTTTTATCTGCATTTTTACCATTCAGTTTGCTTATTAACGAATTTATGTACGCACATACTTTATACCTATTATTAAGTAACAATTTTATTTATGGTTAAAAATAACCGTATTTCCGATGGTGTCCGAAAATTCGAAAAGTATGCATGCAGAACAAAACAAAAATGAAATTGTTGAATTGTTTATTCTATATTATCATTTAAATAAAGTTAACTTTTAAAACTCGCAGGTATTTAAGGCACACAGTTCATGCTAACCTGATCTTATATTTTAATTTATTTTGTCCCACTTGTGAATAAAACTAAGGGTCTTTTCATATCAAGTAATCAAATCACCGTTCGGTTATCTTGGATCTTGATGAAATTTGGTGTTAGTTGAATAAAGATTCAAGTGATGTTGTGCAAAATCTAAATTTCACTACTATTAGTATAGTTGCGTCCTGAAGCATCCAGCGTAAAGCTATCTCTGCATCACTGACGAGTATCCGTACAAACTGACAAGTTTGAACTGCTACTGTTATGGAACCACAGCAGCTAGCATGCTGAAAAATGGAACCAAGGACAACTTTTTGTGCCCTGCATGATGGTTGCAATAAAAATTTTTAGTTTTATTGCTGTTATCTTCCAAATTTGCTCAAATAATCCGTCATGTCAATTTTGGGGGAAACACGTCCTTCTACAAATTTGTGTTTGTTGTCAAGATATGTGCTACTGAATATGAAATTTTTAAACCCAAGTAGAACAATTCATTTTCCTTCAATCAAATTCGTTTTATTACAATTAATTGGAAAGAGCAGACATTTTTAAAGCCTTGTTTTATTTTAGAGTCAAGGTCAGAATAATTTGAAAATTGCACTTTGATAACGTGTCGTAATATAATCGATAGTACAAACATAATATACAGGACGATGATTGTCAGTCACACTGGNATGTACGTACATACTTTATACCTATTATTAAGTAACAATTTTATTTATGGTTAAAAATAACCGTATTTCCGATGGTGTCCGAAAATTCGAAAAGTATGCATGCAGAACAAAACAAAAATGAAATTGTTGAATTGTTTATTCTATATTATCATTTAAATAAAGTTAACTTTTAAAACTCGCAGGTATTTAAGGCACACAGTTCATGCTAACCTGATCTTATATTTTAATTTATTTTGTCACACTTGTGAATAAAACTAAGGGTCTTTTCATATTAAGTAATCAAATCACCGTTCGGTTATCTTGGATCTTGATGAAATTTGGTGTTAGCTGAATAAAGATTCAAGTGATGTTGTGCAAAATCTAAATTTCACTACTATTAGTATAGTTGCGTCCTGAAGCATCCAGCGTAAAGCTATCTCTGCATCACTGACGAGTATCCGTACAAACTGACAAGTTTGAAGTGCTACTGTTATGGAACCACAGCAGCTAGCATGCTGAAAAATGGAACCAAGGACAACTTTTTGTGCCCTGCATGATGGTTGCAATAAAAATTTTTAGTTTTATTGCTGTTATCTTCCAAATTTGCTCAAATAATCCGTCATGTCAATTTTGGGGGAAACACGTCCTTCTACAAATTTGTGTTTGTTGTCAAGATATGTGCTACTGAATATGAAATTTTTAAACCCAAGTAGAACAATTCATTTTCCTTCAATCAAATTCGTTTTATTACAATTAATTGGAAAGAGCAGACATTTTTAAAGTCGCCTTGTTTTATTTTAGAGTTAAGGTCAGAATAATTTGAAAATTGCACTTTGATAACGTGTCGTAATATAATCGATAGTACAAACATAATATACAGGACGATGATTGTCAGTCACACTGGATTTATCATACT